TGCGAGCACCTCATCCAGTGTCTCCCTGTTTCACGTACGGTTGTTTCCTACACCGCGTCCGAACAGCGATGCATCTATTGCCTTTTTGGAGAATTTACCGCATCCACAGCTCAAGAGCGTCTTCCGGCGCCCGCTGTCCCCTTTTTCCCGGTGTCGCAATCGTGGCAGTCGGGGTAACTGGTGCTGCTGCCGCTTTTAGTGCATTCGGGCCGGCACCAGCTTGGCTACCCCGAGCCGGAAACATTGCGGGGCGCTTGGACTCACTGCCTAGCATGCGAGCGGCCGAGGTTTCCGTGGAGCTGGGGGATTTCTCACGGGCGGAAACCTTTGCTTCACGTGGAGGAGGCTCCATAAAGCAGTGTGAGCCACACCTCGAAATTTCGATCACTGCTCCTCAGGAGAGAGCAAAGAGTGGACTTACTACTGCAGGGAGCCGTAGGCTAGGGGCGTCCACTGAACAGGTTAGTCAAGATGACACGGCAGCAGCAGCAACCGCTACTCCGGGCGATTTCACAGCGGTGTCGAAGGTCCCCGAGACGGTGATCCGCGCTGAAGACGAGATGCCGGCATCAGCGAGAGCAAATACCCGAGAGCCGAGAAACTTACACGAGACTCGTGCTGAAGGGGGCCACGCTGGGAAGTGGATGTCACAGCTGCGACACAGGGAGTCCGCGCCAACACCCCCTGGACTAGCACCGACTGGCGACGGTAGTGTCCGTCGTGAATCAGCGGTTTCACCTAAACGTGGTGGCCGCGTGGAGCGTTCTAACGCCGCGGGAACGCCTGCAGCTTCTGCACCTTCGACGGCGCCAGCGAAAGCCGCACCGCTGTGGAGCGAACGCGATGGCACTGGCGACGCGAAAGGTGAGCGTCCGAGTACAGCGCCAAGGACTGTCCGAGGCGGTCATATCCCGCCTCGTGCTGCTGCTGCCACTACACTAGAAGGCCTTCTGCAGTTTCCATATCCGGATGTTAGTTCCAACGTTACCTGGAGGAACTCTCAAGACGTTTCGTACCCGCTCTCTAATCAGAACTTTTTCGAGAAACTGCAAATCCGTCGTCGCGGGCACAGCAGCTCCTTCACAGATGCTGACGCAGTTAGTCTTACTGCGGAAGACTCTAATCTCTCCTCAAGCATGCGTCCGGGATTTCGTCTTTTCGGTGAGCCTTATACCTTTGGGCGGCCCGATAGCAGCGGAGTACCTAATCAACGCCAACAAAAGCAAGAGGATCATCAATCTGGGAATATAGCGTACCTGATCCAAGCAATGGGGCGCGTGCGCAAGAAGCTGGCGTGCTACTCCTGGGGTCAGCGAAGCAATGCGTCATTGTGGGACAATCCTATCAATGCCGTCGGCGAGCAGGTAAAGGAGCTGCTTCATGCATTAGGAGGCCTCACAGAGCTGTGCACGGCTGAGGGAGAGACTGGAGCGCTTCCACGTCAGCACGGCCAGAGCATCTACTCAGAGCTGGCCGCATTTGTCGAGGATGTTGCGCCAGGACCCAAGACGCAACGAAAGCGAGACACGGTGGACCCTGCCGGCACCTGGAGCAGGAGAACCCGGCGTGTCAGTTCACAAGCGGCTCTCCATCCGTCCCAGGTGTCTTCAGTATTAGCAGACGTCTCCACTGCTGCGTATGATGCACTAAGCGAAGCGTCTGCGCTGATGGACAAAATACACGAGCAGCCGTCGGAGTGGATTGTGCAGGCAGCCGTCGAAACACTTGATGTCCGCGTCCGCAGCCTGCGCGCTGCATCACGCAGTTTCAAAAGTTTATTACAGGCCTTCCGGTCCACTACTCGTCAGCTGCTGGCGGAATGCCCACAAGATGCGCGGAGAACAGCAAAAAAAAGAAAAGTTCCTGAGCTCTTGATGAAAGTAACCTCCAGGGTGTATTCGACGGTAAAATATATATGTGTGACATGCACAAAGATTTCTGCAACAGTTAGCGCATTGTTACCATATCTGCTTCACAAGAAGGACCTTACTCCTGCAGATAATTTGCGATTTGCGGAGTGCTTCGAGTCTGTATCGGTAGCACTTACCACTGTCCGACTGCGCGTGGCCTCCGCAACGCTCTACAATGAAAAACTGGCGAAGACTTTGAAGCGGGCTGCTGCTCTAACAGCTACCATAGCCACTGCCATCCCGACCGCACGAGCACAAATCCCAGGGTATCTCTCTGCGGTCAGCACTCTCCAGTGGAATGGTCGCTCGCTGCTCTAGGAGCCGTTGTCGACTCGCAGGTTTACGAGCATAAACAACTGTAACCTTCTAAAGCCCGTGAGGGGCCTCTGGCGTAGGCTAACGACCGCATACAACAGCATACGAGGTTGTGCGGTTGAACGGGTTAGCCATGAAACGGGGAGGAAGCGTCGCGGAGCGCCACAGAGCGCACCTGCGTAGCACTGTCGAGGGAGTCTCTAGTGACGCTGCCGGCAGGTCAGGAGCACACAGCGGCTGCTCTTTGATGCAGCTCTAAGCCCTTGAAAGTGCTACAGGGGCTTGGACAGGGAAGGTGGCAATCGGGCTGGTGGCAGGGTCCGCTGCAAGTCACACAGCACGGTCAGTCAGGACAACAGTGATGATGCCGAGGGGTTCCCTCGTCGCGAAGTCCGAATCTCCAATCCGAGGTTGTCTATGCATCGTTGGGAGAGTTCTTCACGCGACAGAAGGCAAAGGTGAAGCCCGAGCCACGATCCCCTGCACCGGCAGGCGTCGAGAGAACAACGGCTGCCAAACTGATCGAAGCCACCGGCTACAGAGCTGGCGAGCCTCCGGCCTCTGGTGCCCGCCTCGGGAAGAGAACAACGTTTGCAGACGGTGGCGCCAACCAGCTGGATCGAATGCGGACGACAGCACTGTGCCGGCGCCCGGAAGACGCCAGAGCCCAGCGCATGTAGCACAAGAGGGGACACAACCGCCTGTCACCGGCGTCGACGTCTTTACTGCGGGGCTAAAGAAATCAAAGCTACTGGAGCAACGTGCGCCGCAGCGGTGACCGCGCCTGGGGCAAGCGAGACCACATCAGGAAAGGAAAATGCAGGCAGGTACCGGAACAATAGCTGCAGCCACAGACACGGGTGAGTACACTCTAGCCCCCGCCAGCATTACCACTTGCTGCGATAGCTGGATAAAACCACAGTGACAACGGTACCCTGCACAGCAACTGCAATCGCCTGCACAGCAGCGTAAGCGCCCGTACCGAAGCGCGCAGCACCCGAAGGTCATACGCTGCGGAACTCCGCACAAGGGTGAGTAGCCGCATGGTTGCTGGGGAAAAGGCACTTGACATGAATCAGTTCGTGCTCACGTTGGCTCCCCTTGAGACGTGTCCAGCACGCACCGACTGGAGTTTTCCGTCTCTGGGTGACAGCCCACGACTTGCACACCAGTGATTTGCACAGACCGCTTCTGTCCGAAATTTTCCTGCCCAGAAAAGAAGAGGTGGGCCCAACAGCGCAGGCGTCAGCTAATGCAAGGGGGTAATCACGTCGTGCAAGCAGGCCGAACCGGACGGGCAGTATCAGGGAAACGCCGTTAAATTACATGTGACTTAAAAGGCCACTACGTCTTGCTTCTGAGAAGCTGACGCCAGGGAATCTTCCGCTTAACTCCGCCAAGTCCATATCCAGATATTCCAGCTTAAGTCGAGACGCGCCAGCGGGGCACGCGGTGCCTGAACTTCAACTCAGCAGGCAAGCACGTGGCGGGCGAAAGTGCGCAGCAGGGTTTAGAGGCCCGAGCCCCCTCTACAACTTCTGCCCACATCTGAAGGAGGGGTTCCTTGTTGTGCTCAACTTCAAGTCAGCAGGCCGGCGCGTAGCGGGCAGGTGCGCACCATGGTAGAGACGCATGAGATCTTTCAACCAGCCAGCAAAAGGATGGGCATGTGATTAGAACACGAAGACTACGGAAGTCTCTGCGCGCAGCACAACAATCAAAGCGGCTACAAGCTATATAGCTAGTAGTGGAGGGAGTAGCTACAAGTGACTGAAGCGCTGGAAGACACCAGACCCGTACAGGGTCCTGCTTCCGCAGCTTGGGGTGGTCCTGGGCGCGTTCACTTACGTTTACCAGCCGCGTATGTGCCTTGGCCCGATGGTGTCCCCGCGGCCTGCTGCCTGAAGCCTGTCGTCGCTCTCACGTCTCGGTAACGCGTAGCATCTCATCTTCAAGTGCGCAGGCCAGCAGAAGTGCCCACTGTGCAAACGACCAAAATGCAACGGCGGAATTCATGGAGACTTAGACGACTACTTTATGCTGAGGCCGACTGCCGTCAAAACCGCAGCCCATATCTATGTCTTTATATGTCGATATATACATATCTATATATATATATATACACGTTGTACGCCACCAGCACCGGCCTGCGAAGCCTTGATCCACCGGGAACCACCCGTATTTGTCGTGCGGATGGTACAGGCACGGCGTTTCGGAGAGGTGTGCCTTCGAAGAACGTGTCGCGTTTAGGCTGCTGTACGCTGCCGTCTGGCAGCTCTAGACAGTGTGCAGGTGCCGCTCGCTTGGTTGGGTGCACTGCGTAGCTTTCGGTGCTGGGGCCGTGGCCACAGCCCACCTCTCCGGGAAGAATAAGCACGTGGCACCATGTTGAGGAGCGAGGAACAGTTGAAGGTTTGTGGCTCGGCTTTCGCTAGCAACTAGTCCGCCAAGTACGTCATCCGTACGCGGCGCTAAAACATCCGGCCTGATTTAGGAATAAAACGGTGGAAGAAGCGTGCGAATGCGTATCCTGCTCGTGCACCCCGTGCGGGGAGCTGGCAGACCTCTAGAAACTTGTGACAGCTCGCGCTGCGACCTGCTGAGGCGCTGTTTGCCTGCTCCTCGAACACAGAAGGCATATAGGTTTCTCTTACCCAGAGCACGGCACCGGGTCGCACACCACTCTGGGGGGGCACTTGCAGGAGGCGCTGCCTCCACTCGTCACTGCGTAAGACAGTGGCTGGTTTAAGCATCCTTCGCTTCGTGGTTGTTTAGCCCGGCGAGGAAGAGCCCCGAAGTCAACCATCTCAGAGGAGACACGTCGGAGAGCTATCTTCGCCGGAGACACGCAAGCACCAGAGGCGCGACAGATGGGAGCCGGTTGCAGCGAATTCTGAGCGAAGTCATTTCTGTACTCACCGGGATCCACGGACAAAAGATGCGCCCCAGTGTTGATTTTGACGGCGAAATCTACAGGTGAAAGGCGCCGCGCTGGACCGTTGGAAGGCTGTGAGTGAAGTTAAGTGGACGTCCTTCTTCTGTTGGCACATAGCTGTTACGTAGCGGACTGTAGTGACCGCAGGCGGCACACCAGAGCAGGAACCGTCATATGCCGACGCGGTGTCGTCCCGCCTCCCCCGGTCAGATTTCGCTTTCTCGTCGGGCGCTCGACATGGTCTAGTAGATCTTCCGAATTACCATGGCGCGATAGCTCCTCAAATCAGGTCGGACTTGCTACGTACGAGACTCCGGCGGTAAAGATGTCCAAGCACACAGTGCTGAAGCGGCGACTACTAATTTATGCTGTGCCGGCCGGCTCCCCGGAACTTTGTGAGCGCGGAAGCGTGCAAGTGCGGGGAGGTGACACCTGGACCGTACAACCGTGAAACTGGCGACACCGCCATGCGGCAGACGGAAACGACACTGTAAGAAGTAAGGCCGTTACGAGAGACAATACTAGTGGCTTGGGAAAGTGGAAAAGAGGCGACTCTGGAGGCTCGTACTTCCGCATGATTGTTGCGCGTTTACAGAGTGAACTGGTACAAAAGTGTGTTTCGCAGTTTCTCCCGCTATTCTTTCGCTGTTTGGGCGAACGGTGTAACAAGTGATGGAAGTGCGACAGACGTTTCCTTATAGATGAGTGCGAAGCACATACGATGGACATCCTTAAGGGCTGCAGCACGAGGGCGGGCGAGACGAAGGGTGCACGCTGAGGAGCGGAGGGGCGCTCGCGGTAAAAAGCTTGCCAGAGGATCCAACGTCCTCCCGGGATGGCGCTGGTCTTCGTAGGGACGGTGTCAATGTGTACTTGCACGTACCCGCGAAAAGAGAGCTGCACTGTGACTGTGGTACCTAGCAGGAAGAGAGGCAAGGACGTTACGACTAACACAATCTAACAGGAATAACACGAGGCGGCAGGCGGCCGCTGCCGCGTAGCATTCGCGGCTCACGCAGCTGTGAAGGAAGTCCGCGCAGCTCTCTGTGAGCGCAGCAGACGAAAAGTACAAGAGACAGGGCACAAGGCGCTCGACGCCCTCGTTGCAGTCCTGGAGTCGCCGCACATCATCAAACCCACTGATATCCTCGCGTGCATAGAGGCAACAACAGCACCACATTGACAGCCGCTCGTGAGGAGCGGTGCACGGAGGTTGCTGCACCCCGGCTGTTGGTAGCTCCAAGAAAGCCTGCCCAACAGGGCACATTCAGCTGGCCACGACCGCTCGGGCGTGTTCCGTCCCTGCATTCAAATCGACTAGAACTCCACAAAACGCAAAGGCGCCCTACTCACGTGCGTGCGGTATCACCTGGTGTGCGAAGGCACATAGTGAATCTCCTCACCAGGGACGACAGCTGAGGGACCACGCGAAGCCCAACGGTCCACAACCAGTAGATGCGCCAGGCTGTTCCGGGCGTGAGGGATAAGCCTGCGGTAGAAGAGACTACCTGCCGGTGAGGCAGCTGAAACGTGACGCGAGAGAGAAGGAGAACGTTCGGGCCAGCATGCTACTTGCCCGGGGCTCAGGGGGCTGAGCATAGAGGTAACCTCTTCTGCTGCGGAGCTGCTGGCATCCTGGGTTTGATCGAACCCAGTGTTATTACTTCTAACCTTGCGGTTGCCACCTTTCTGGCGAAGTACTGCCGCCGTGCACCCCTGTGCACGCGTAGGTGGCAGTCCAGAATTTGGAGAGGATACATTTTCAAAAAGTAGGACCGACGGAGTCGCTGACATAGCGTTGCTGGTCTCGTTACGTAGGCCGTTACCTTCCTCCGATGCGGCGACAGAGGCAGAGATGCAACCATGCTCCTTCTGACCCGGCAGGGTAGACTCCGCTGAATTACAAGGGTTGCAGGTTGGCTTCTCGAGCGACGAAGAACAAGGGTGCTTCTGAGGAGGAGGAGGAGGTGGCGGAGGAGGAGATGTCGCGCGATGCTGCTTCTCCAACGCTCGCGTTACAGTGTTGGTCCCCTGGTCTGCGCGCGCCGGAAGCTTCTCTGCCTCCAACCTCTTTTCCGACGTCGCCTTTTCGAGTACGCAGGCGTGTACGTCTTCTCTTTGTCGGCTTCCCTCCCGCATCGGTGAAATGGGTCTTACAGCAGGGAGAGGAGGCTTCTCTCCTACATCCGCATATCCCAAAGCCACTTCAAGAAGAGGACGCGGCACTATACGGCCCTGGTTTTCCAGCGCAAACTTTGCTTGCAGGTGGCCTTTGCATGCGGCGCGTTTCAGCAGCTGGAATCCCCGCTCCGCATCTCGAGAAACGCCCAGCCCCTGTCAGGCGAAAACGGATCACATCGTCATCGGCTGGTGTGCTTCTGACGTACCTACTTGCGCAAGCAACGCCTTTGTAGGTGGCTCCCTAATTGCGCAGCACGCCCATGCGCTCTTATTTATGCCTTCCTGAAGACCTGGGCAGTTTCTCACGTCTGCACCTGCAGGCATGGGTCTGTCCCGGCCCACCTCTACGTAGTGTTATGTCCACACTGACGGAAGTTTCTTGGTCGCGGAAAACGTCTCGCGTAGCCCAGGCGATCAGTAAGAGGCGCACGGGCAGACGCCAAGTACACGGTGCGAATAAAACGCTCCTGTAGGGCCGCTCTTACGAGCTCAGTGTCGGTTGCCGCGGAGGAACGATAACGCGGTCCTGATTTTAAACACACTAGTACACGCCGTTGCTTAATTCGCACCAGCCATCCTTCGTGTAGCACTATTGTTGCGGGGCTGGACGTGCGCTCTTCCTTGAGAAAAAGGGGTAGCTTTCCGGATGCCACAAGACCTGCGCAACTTTGCCTGTGGCCCGTCGCCCTCTGTGTAGCACAGTAGAGGCTTCTCGTGCGAAGCAGAACGGTCTGCCGGCTGAAGTTGTTCAGATAATATCCTCCTCCATTTCACTCGAGGTGCAGTTAGGCTGCCGCGGCAAGATCATCCACATATCTTTGAGGCAGCCCTCACTCCTCTTTCGAACCTACTATAGAGACACGTCCTACAGCCTGCGCGGTCGTGACGCAACGGCGGCTGAGCACTTCTGTTTCACTAAACACATTACTTCAGGGCAGCGTTACTCCGTCGACAGTCAGCCTATGTAAGTTCCATGCCAGAGGAAGGCCCTCTCGTAAGTCCGTAAGCGCACAACTACGCGCGCAGGGCGCAGTGCAACAACATACGCATTGAAGTACCTTCTGCGAGCATGTCGGCAGCAGCCACGTTTCACATACAACACTTCAGCAGGCATAGGCTACATTGCAGGCGCGCGATGCTCATGCCCGGCGACGCCGAACTTGCGCTACAGTTTGCAAGAGGGAGAACGGCTGACCGCAGGAATTCCTGTAGCGTACCTTTGTAAGCAGTCTGGCCAGGTTGCACATTGCGTCAACAGATTCACCTTCGATGGCGTGCTCGTAACACGTCGCAGCCTCCGTGTATTGGGGTATTGCATGGACACTGCCCAGACCTTCTTCGTGGCAAAGGCCGAGGCAGTTCCACGCTTCTGGGTCGTTGCCCTGGAAAAGTAACCAAAGCAGTACGACACGCAGCAACGCGTCATCGGTCCGCCCCCCCGTACGCGTGGGTCTCTGCTCCTTACGAGATGCACGCCGCCCCCGGCGTAAGCTGTGGCGCGCCTGCAGCAGCCTGCGGAGCCATGATCCAGAGAGTATACTAGGGACGCTGCGGCGTCGCCGGCCGCGTGGCCGGTGCACTCCTGTACAGCTCCTAGTCACCAGTGAACACTTTGCGAGTCACGTGCACAGGCGCCCCCTGCAGAAGCGCAGACCCGCCGAACGGCGTTGTCGACGACGTATGTAACGCACAGAAGCGGTGACGACGAGGCGACGCATGCCTGCCTGTGGTAGTGGTCAAACGCCAATCGTCACAACGCCTAAACTGCTGTGACAAGACAATGCGGGTCGAAGGTGTTGGACAGGATAAGACAGCGAAGAAACTCGCCTGCTCCGCGGCGACGCGATAGTGGTTGAAGGCTTCTTTTTTGTCTGCTAGGTCCGACCCTCCCTTTCTGGAAAAGAGCAGATGAGCCAGGCGGAGGTGAGCCTTGGGGTTCGTTTCTCCAACCGCGGCTTTCCTGTAGCATGCGAGCGCCTGTTCCAGATCTCTTGTAAGTCCTGTTGCAGACAATATGGTAGAGGCCTCCAAGGCAGCAACACTCTGAGCGCGGTTTCTCTCAACTGCACGCTCGATGAAGAGCATCAAAACGCCGCTACTTCCCTTAATCACGGACGTCCGCACGGTACACGCTACTGGCTGTAATACGGCGCCCGCCGCGACGTTTCTCCCGCTCTAAGAGCAGCGTTTCGAATTCACGACGCCCCGCAGCGTTCTTTGATGCTGCGCCAGCATGTGCGTGCCCGTCCCGGGGGCACAGTGGTCTCTCTGGGAAAACCTCGAGAACGCGCGTCCGCGGCTTTTTGTAAAACCCGCTCCAGAGTGACCGTTTTTTCGGCGTGAGAGGAGGAACCAAGGTCTATCGTATCTGGAGCACGTGTCTCACGTTAGTACTACTGCATTACGTGCGCTGTCACCGAAGGCAATCCCTTTAACAACTGCTCGAAGTGGCTGTATATCGATGCCTCTGCTGACGAGTACACAAGCGTCTCGACTGCTACGAGGTCTGTTCATGATGATAGAGCAGAGTTTCTAACAGCGACTTCGGAGGGTCTGGACAAGCACGTTCGCCAAGCAGGCTCGCGTCGGCTCTGCGAGCATGAAAAAAGTGGCCTGACGAACGCTTAAGAGATCAGCAGACCCTGCTTACCCGCGTAGGCGCGCCGACGGCTGTTCAAGGCGCGCTGCCTAACTTACAGCTGGGGTGGATCACGTGCTGCGGCGACGCAACAACGGGTGCTGTGGTTCACAGTGATGTAACCAGCTCATTGTTGCTTCACACACACAAGTAAGTCGACGTACCTCCACCATTGCCCATCTCGCG